ACACACACACACACACACACACACACACACACACAGGCCTTCGGTAAAAACCCAAATGGCTCCGTGCTCTGCCATTATATTTGTTATGTGCTTTGAATGATACTGATTACACCCTCTGCTCTTTAACCGACTGTCACGCATACACGCATGCAGAGAGAAAGCAGAAAATGTTCTTTGCTCATTTACAACATCCCTGTTTGTTGGACATGCCCAGTGTCGGTTGTACTGTGTCTGCTCCAGCCCACCCCCCACCGTACACCCCCATGCATTCACTCAAACACCCACACTTGCACAAAGTATGTGAGCTGTTGTATCTTAGCAACGAGCAAGGTAATTACTGAGAGAGCCAAGGAGCTGGCATGCTGTAGAGCTGCTGATCTGATCCCAGCCTTAGAGAAACAGGAAGGCAGATATTTCCACTGTGTTGCCCAACACAGCACTTCTGTATTCACTGTGTTTAAATGTAAGCTTTGCTTCAATTTAGTGGCGAGCGTGTTCGACCTAACGAGCAGGTCAGACGTGCTGTTTTTCGTTCCTCAAAATGTGTGTGTGTCTCTGTTCGCAGGTGGCGAGGTTGTGGACAAAGAGGAAAGATGATTCTGTCTTGTAGAAAAGATCCTTTCGGCCTCTCCTTGTAAAGACGAGAGAGCCGTGGGAGACGACGGCTGTAGGAGGATCTGTACTGTTTTTAAAGGGGCCCAAACCAGGCAGGCTCTTGTGGAAGGGGAAAGAATGGCTAACCAGAGCTTTGCCATCGACGGCCCTGGCAGTTTGCTGGCTGTGCTGGCCTCTCAGAGTGGACTAGCAAGGGGCGGCAGCAGCAGTGACAGCAGCAACAACGATGGAGGAATCTCTGCCACAGATGTGTCTGCCTACTTTAAGCTGGTCTTCTTGGGGTTGATCATCTGTGTCAGTCTTGTAGGCAACCTCTTGGTCTCCCTGCTGGTCCTGCGAGACAGGACGCTTCACAAGGCTCCCTATTTCTTTCTTCTGGACCTGTGCCTGGCCGATGCAGTTCGCTCTGCTGCCTGCTTCCCCTTTGTGCTGGTTTCCGTCCACAACAGCTCGGCCTGGACTTACAGTGCCTTGAGTTGTAAAGTTGTGGCTTTTATGGCTGTGCTGTTTTGCTTTCACGCTGCCTTCATGCTGTTTTGTGTGGCTGTCACTCGCTACCTTGCCATTGCCCACCACCGATTTTACGCCAAACGCATGACCATCTGGACCTGTGCCGCCATCATATGCATGGTGTGGACTCTGGCAGTCGCCATGGCGTTCCCACCCGTCTTTGACGTGGGGACTTATAAGTTCATTCGTGATGAGGATCAGTGCATTTTTGAACACCGCTACCTGAAGACCAACGACACCCTGGGTTTCATGCTCATGCTGGCTGTGGTGGTCCTGGCTACTCATGGCTTCTACGCCAAGCTGCTGCTGTTTGAATACAGGCACCGCAAGATGAAACCTGTCCAGCTGGTGCCCGCTATCAGCCAGAACTGGACCTTCCACGGTCCCGGGGCCACAGGTCAAGCTGCAGCTAACTGGATCGCAGGGTTCGGTCGTGGTCCCATGCCACCTACTCTGTTGGGCATCAGGCAAAATTTACACAATCAGCACCGGCGGCTGCTCGGGATGGAGGAGGTGCGATCAGAGAGGAGGCTGGGCAGGATGTTCTACACCATCACCCTGCTCTTTCTGGTCCTCTGGGCACCGTACATCGTGGCGTGCTTCTGGAGGGTGTTCGTAAAGTCCTGCACCATCCCTCATAGGTACCTTTCCATCACAGTGTGGATGAGCTTCGCCCAGGCCGGAGTGAACCCCATCTTCTGCCTCCTGCTGAACGAAGACCTGAGGAAAGTGCTGAGAGCTCATCTGCCTACTTACTGGAGGACTAAACAACACCTGCCCCAGGATGAGGCCTACTGCATCATGTGAGATTAAAATGAGCCTAAAGAGGGGGATGTTTCACGTTTTAAGGGGGAATTTGGAGAGCAGAAGGGTTGCAATGCACCTTGCTTAAGTGTCAGTGTCTGTTTTGTTGTTTTGCACAACAAAATCCAAATTTTGCTAACAAATGCGGGCACAGTGCCGATATCTGAAGAATGTTTATATGTGAAAAAATGTGTGCGTTGCAAAGGTTTGGATAGGGCAGTAGAAACGCCCTGGTAACACTTTAAGGGTGTGTACCGCTGATGACGGACTATATAATTAATAAATTGGAAAGATCACAACAATCACCGCTCCAGCTAAGTGTGTCAGATGCCATTTTAAAATAACGTTGCCTTATTTCAGAGGGACACGCCCCAGAGCTTTCAGCTGAGAATGCGTTTCTGTGTCACATAAGGCACAAAACAGACACAGAGAGGCTTGAAATCCTTGAAGAAATGTGCCGTGGACTGTGAATAGAAAGTGTTGATCAGAGCGTTACTAACTCTGAAACACATCAAGGAACTCAAAGGGTCTAAATGGATTGATAGACCACCCTGGACGCCTTTTCATGTATTTCAAAAAGAGACTGCAGAATATCAAGTGGACTCAATAACCTTGGATACATTTAAATAGCTGTTGTGATCCCAGAAGCCCCTAACATGCTTGATTTTTTTGGACTTGATTTAGGGCGTGTCAGGTTTCTTTGTATCATAAAAAAAAAATTGCCTGTTTTCCTTTATTTGTAAACAATACATGTTAAGCAGATGACACTATTTTGAAATATGACTTGATTTCATATTGTATAGACCGTACAGGAATCTATATTCCTGTTTGTGTGTTTTTATAGAGCATTTGTGTGTATGTGTGTGAAAAAGAAAAAAAAAGGCAGAAAGAAAAAAAAATGCAGAGGGAAGTGGAAGGAGACAGAAAGAAATAATGATGATAGAAAAGGTTCCAGTAACACTGAGTCAATATGAAAGCAGCCTCATCTTGTGGTCTCAAAATCATGGAAAATTGAGCAATCTCATCATATGGAAATTTATCCTTCAAATGGATTTTTAAGCTGGATTTTTAATGCTAATGTGCAAGCAATTGTGAAATACAGATGGATAATGAAAAAAAGGGAGACAGAATAATTAGAAAACAACAGTTGTACATTGAAAACAGGCCATAGGATTTAATGACTTGAATGATGATGTATATTACGTTATTTGGAAAAAAAAAAACCATTAGGAAGTGTACATTTATTTGCAAATGACGATCTTGGGAATGTTTTAAAGTGCTGTTTTGCTCTCACCAGAATACAAAAAAAAAAAGAGAAAATGAAGTGGCACTTAATTTGAATGAAACTTGAATGTTACCGTGCCATCTTATATCCCCCCCACCCCCGAACATTAAAGCCAGCACTTGAGTGTCTGGATCACAGTATGTTCAAAATCCAAACATCTTCAGGTTGTATACGACCCCCAATCTGTGTGGTGTATGAAAACTGGCAATGAATACAATGAATTGTCTCTTCAAATTACAATTCATGTGCCACAAATGTCTGACCTACGATATGTTAGGCATAGATTTACACGTGCAGTCAATTTTTTTTAAATGTGGACACTTGCACAGCATACTGTACTAAGCATGCATTCCACTGCATTTCATAGATTCAAAACTGGGGATTACAACTTGTACAGATGTTGTTATGGAAAGAAAAAGTGAAAAGTGAACAGAGGTCCATAATTTTTACGTCTGGCATTCCTTCGCGAGATGATATTCTGTAACTGTACAGTTTAACTGAGTTGGTTCTTTTGCCCACTCATCAATAAAGACTCTACTTTTGATGCATTCTGATTTATGACCTGTCTCGATTGCGACACGGGCCCAGTGGACAGCACTTTACACAAAATAGGCCACTTAACAGTTTGTGCAGCACAAATTGCACCCTGTGTCCATTGTTGTTCTCGAACACATACAAAAAAGCTGAATTTTTGACACATCGGTCTATCATTGTACACTTCACTGGATGAAATGAAAAAGTCATCCCCTCCACTGAGCACTGATCAACAATCACTATACAGTCAAAAAAATTTGTGATTTTCTTCTCCAGTAGCATTTCAGACCTGTGGAGACAGGTGTCACACACAAAAAAGAACTGAAAACATAAAATATATGGACAAAAGTACCAGCCCACCTACACGTCACACCTGCAGGAGCTTCTCAGCCATGAAAACCAAAAACCATGAAGCTCCTGGTGCACAGTTTTAATGCCAGAGAGGGTTTGTAACACAAAATGGGACTGAAAACACCTGATAGGCCCATAAAGTGCATCAGTGAATTATGATGTGGATGATGCTTCATAAAAAGGCAGCTTAAATGCTCATTTCCACCTCCATATGTTTATTCAAAGCCTCTTCTGGAGAAGCTTTGGATGATTCAGTGTTAGAAATAATCCCTATTTATCTTATACTTGGTTCATCATCTTGGTGACATCACAGAGAGCCAAAGGTAGCAGAAATGTAAGAAAGAGAGCATTTAGATCAGTTGAAGCCTGAGCTTTTGGATCACAGACATTACTTGCAAATATGCTACCCCTATCCTTGACGCTAATGTGAGCGTCTTCTATTGTAACAGTGCATAAATGCAGAAAATAAGGAAAAACCTAATTGGCCTTTTTGAATATAATGAAACATTCCTGCAATAAAACCAAAGGTCACGTTATGCAACTCTAGGATGTTCATAAGGTCACAATAAACTATTGTTTATACCAGACGAAGCTAATCTTTAAGGTTCAAAGTGTACTCAACTGAATGAATGAAATGGATCCATTTGAAAGTGGAATACTGTGGAATACTGTGTTATTTTCTTTTATACTAATGGTCATGCACAGGAGTAACCTCTGGATATGATGGGTTGCAGTAATTTCATAATCATTAGTATTTCTGTATTGGTCAGATTGTATGGTGTATTCTAAAAGATAACAATTAATACAGCAGAAAACTGAAAAAACGGCCGCTGTATAAATTATGTAAATTAAAAGTAGCTTTTTCTTTCACCTACCGTTTTCAAGTGGCAGCTGTTGAATCTTTTGTGCAAACTGCAGAAAGGGTTTTAAGGGGTATCTAATCCTTCAAAAGACCATAAAAACACATTTTATATTTTAAAATAGGCAGAATTAGTGCTCATGCTAAGATATCGATCAATATCTCTACAAGTATCAGGATCTTAAACGAATAGTAGACATACGCTCATAGAAAATAATTTTGGATATACTTTATGGTTAACTCCTCTGCAGGATAAGAAACATCAATGTAGTATACAAACCCCCGGCTCATACAGATTCCACATGTACAGCAAGCCTTATGCAACAGCAGTGCTTCTGACACGTTAAAAGAAAATGGATGGCTTGGAAGAAAAATACTTCATTGTTGTAATTAGGACATGATTGAAATCCAGTCACTGTGTGGTTATGTAATGTCTTGATAAACAATTAGCCTATATTTTAAATTTGAATGAGAGATAATTTCCTTTGTCTTAATTGCTGTGCTCAAGCTGATGAAAAGGATGGTTCTATAGTGAGCAGCATCAATTGTGTGAACGCCCTCTAAATAGTCCAGGTTTAACAGGTTGCATCCAACTGTGCCTCTCTGTCTCCCCAGAACTGATGCTGAAGATTCATCTAAGCGCTTATTTTTAGTTTTCTTCCCACTTCTCTCCAAGATTCACAACAACATAGGCGGTATTACTCATTTGTGAAAGCTCACCCCCGCCCGCTGTACGTTTTGAGGATGCAGAGTGCTGCATAGGCCTTGTTGCACTGTCCTATCAGAAAACATGTGGTCACGCGGGTGAAGTTTTGTGTTGACCTCATAGACAATTCTCTTTTTTTTTTGTTTGTTTGTTTTTGATCAGCACCTATCATGGCTGCTTCAAACAAAGCCGGCGTCCTTCCTTGCAGTGTATCCAAACTTGCATGTTGCAAACTCCTTACCAACCTTGAGAAGAATGTAATCGAGTGTGAAAGTGCTGTGCTGGAAATTTTGAAACTACAGGTTCCTTTGAACGCTGTGCTTTTCAATTACTCTAATTCAATCTCTTTTTCACTTGGTAATTTCTTTCTTTTCTCTGCACTGTGTAGAGACTGCAATGCAAACTGCAGTCACAATTTGTGAGCGCAGTGATTTCCAATGCAGGGGTGTGCAGTCATTTTAATATTATTTTTTCTTATAGTTCTTTTTACTGCAAATTCTATAATATTTTCACCCATTTAAATTTTAGAAACATTATGTAAATTAAAATAAAAGTAAATTATGTTTAGTTAAACTAGCCACACAAAAATAATCAACAAGCGTGACACCACCATGGCCATTCTAACCAGTCCTCTGACCTCACACAACCAACAAAGGCCTGTAAGTGTTGCTACACTTCCTCAGAGAGGACGAGTTAACTCCACTAAACACTGTTTTCAGTGGAGCTTAAATATTATGAGTCTTCAAGTTGTACATCTAAAGAGGGGGAAATTATTATTTAATGTCGTGTTGAATTTGTAAGTTTGCTCACTTACAAAGAAATGAACAGACTCTAATTATATGGTTGTTTCATTTTAATGGAGTGAAACAGAACATCAACCAAAAAAAATTCAGTTTAGAACATTTTCCGTAATGAGGATTTTTGGTTGATTTCTTGTGACTCCCCCCAAAAATCAAAATCAAAATCAAGCTACCATGAAAACTAGAGTTCATTTCTTTGTAAGTGAGCAAATTTACAAATTCATCAGGGGATCAAATAATTATGTCCCACGCCAAATATAGCCATCATGGGTGAGTGACTAAAAAAAAGTATTTGGGATACAGATCAGTGTGATAAATGTTTCACAGGATGCTCAGAAGAATAACATCAGTTAAAGGATCGGAAAGAAAGAGGAAGTATTGACAAAAGCACTATATTGATAATGTGAGCAATTTGTGACAACTTACATAAAGGAACTTCCCTAATAACAGTACTCAGCAGTGCTTCAAATTCACTGCTAACATCAACATGCTAACATGGTGATCAGATTAAAAAGTGACAGCAGTTCTAGTGTTTAATTTGATGCCAAACTGGAACAAGATACACTCACTGGCCACTTGTTTGCTTATAGAACTGCCTTAAATTCTTTGTAGCACAGATTCAACGAGGTGCTGGAAGCTTTCCTCAGAGACTTTGGTCCACGTTGACATGATAGCATCACAGTGTAGATTTGTCATCTGTGCATCCATGGTGTGAATCTCCTGTTCCACTACATGGCAGATGTCCTCTATTGGATTGAGATCTGGTGACTGTGAAACCAGTTTATGACAGTTTGAGCTTCGTGACATGGCGCTTTATGCTGCTGGAAGCAGTCGTCAGAAGATGAGTACAGCAGCAAAACTCGGTGTTGTCACGCTGTGTTGTTTAAACAATGCTCAGTTGTTGCTAAGAGGCCCAAAGTGTGCCAAGAAAATATTCCCCACACCAGACCACCACCTGCAGCAGCCTGAACCACTGACACAAGGCAGGGTGGATCCATGTTTTCATGCCGTTTACACCCAGTTCTGACCCCAGTTGCAACAGCAATTGAGATTCATCAGACCAGGCAATGTTTTAGCAATCTTCTGTTACTCAATTTTGTTAATGCTATGCAAATTGTAACCTCAGTTTCCCATTCTGAGCTGACAGGAGTGCCACCCAGTGTGGTCTTCTGCTATCTAGGCCATCTACTTCAAGTTTAGAAGTAGTGTGTGTTCAGCAGTGCTCTTCTACACACCTCAGTTGTAACGTGTTGTTATTTGAGTTACTGTTGCCTTTATCAACTCAAAGCAGGTTTTTTCACCCAGAGAACTGCCATTCACTGGATATTTTCTCTTTCTCACATGATTGTCTATAAAAGATGGCTGTGTGGGAAAATCCCAGCAGATCAGCAGTTTCTGAAATACCCAGACCAACCCATCTGGGACAGAAAACCACATCACGTCCAAAGTCGCTTGAATCATCTTTCTTCCCCATTTTGTTACACGTTTTGAACTTCAGCATGTCATCTTGACTGTGTCTAAGTGTTACTGCCCTGTGATTGGCTGGTTAGAGATTTGCATTAACAATTACTTGACCAGGTGTATATAATGGATTGGCTTATGAATATGGAACCATGGTTATCAAGAATCTGATTACATTTCTTATTAGATTAGCAAAAGAAAGAGGGCAATCACCAAAGTGAAAGTCATCCACAAGTGATACAAAATATTTAAGGTATAGAGATTTTTGAGATATTTCAATTCAATATCCAGTTTTATTTGTGTCAAATCACAACACCAGTCGCCTCAAGGCACTTTATATTGTAAAGTACAGTCCCCACAATAATACAAAGAAAACAGAAAACCCCAACAATGAAAAGAACACCGTTGGAGCAAGCACTTGGCGACAGTGAGAAGGGGAAAAAAAATCCCTCTGGCAGAACCAGCCGTCCCTCAGGGAGGGACAGCCACCTGCTGGGATCGATTTCACTCAGCATTAAGGCAGAATGCAAAATCAACCAAGATCAGAAAAGTCAAGATCACTGGATAGATTGCTATTCAGTAAAAAGGACTAGATGTTACAGTCCCCATGCATTATCAGGGACTGTAACATCTAGTCCTTTTTACTGAATAGCAATCTATCCAGTGCATTTTGCCACCAGATTGATGAACTATGTTATGTGTTAGTCTTTAAGACCATGTTGGTGGGATGGCCTTTATACCCAGAGAAGAATTTACCGCTCTCCATATACAATAAACCATCTCTGAACACCAGAAATGACTGTTCCAGTGTAGATCTTGAAGACCCACACTATGACTAATGTTCTCCTACACTGTAGGTTTGACCACTTTACTACTCTGAGCACCTCTGGTATGCACATTTCCGTTTCCAATTATACCGAGATCCATGTATGCCATGAAAAAGGCAGCAAAGGCAACTGACATTTACAATAGTTTATTGTGGATTTGTGAAATAAATTAAATGAATCAGCAACCAGCTTGACCCGAGTATACACGCACACACACATACAGGTTAAGTACAAACACATACTTAAAAACACCCTTTAATCTTTTTTGTCATGATTTGATATGCCTACTGCCTGATCCGGATTTCAGTTTCATGCACATGGTCTCAAATGCAAAACAGCAACTGAAAGCAAATAAGGCCATTTTACTACACTTGATTACACTGATTGAATAACAGTTACATAAATAGTGAACTAGATCTATGCCAGAGGGACTGTCAGTGTGATATAAAGTGTTTTTTGTTTTGTTTTTTTTGGAAAATTATGTGTTCTCTTCACATGAAGTAGGTCGTATCCACCCAACTTGAGGTCAGCCATGACACATGCATGGTATTAGTGCTCGTTCATTCTTTACAAACCAAAGAAAAAAAAAGAAAAAGCCATTTCTCAGCTGCAGCTGTAGGAGCACTGACACACACAGCCCACCTCCCACACCATGAATTTCTAAGACATCCCTACCACCTACACAGCATGGCGTTCTGATTGCACTTGAGTATCATTACATTAAACATTTGACGCAGCCTGTTACATTCCAGTGAAAATCTAAAGACTTGTTATTGGACGGTTAAGGAGCAGCAGGCTTTTTATATGCAGTGGATGGAAGCTTTTTTTTATTTTTAACATGGTTTTTTTCATTAGTGGATCAGTCACTTTTGCTCACGCCTCCAGATGATAACCATGCCGGTGGAATCAGCAGATGCAAGTAAACTCTCGTCGCAGTTGAAGCTGACATCCAACACTGGACCCCCATGACCCTGCAGCTTGTTTACTATCGCCTTGGTGTTGCGCTCGACATCGAAGAAGTAGACGCAGCCATCCTCGCTGCCAGTCACTGCAGCAGAGGGAGAAACACAAAAAGAAATGGCGTGGAGACATTACAAGGACAGCTTGAGAAGATTTAATTTGGGATTGTCTCTAGGCAAGGTGCACACTAATTACTGTGACAACAACAGGATGTATATTATATTTTTTTTCTCTTTCCAGCAGAAAGTAGAATCAACACAGAATTATCTGCACACTCTAATGCATACTGGGCGAAATCAGAAATGCACAGGTGGTCACACACTGCGCCTGACAAGAGGACGGAGACACACAGCTTGTTTATTTTCCACTTCCAGCATGAAGAGAAAGTAACACAGGCTATACACGAAGGAGAGCGCTTAATGAAGGTTGAGCTTATTCATAAATGTTGATGACTTAGCTTGCTGACAGATTTAAACAGACAGATGTTGCATGACCACCTGAAAATAAAATTATACTCCCTGAGCCTTGTTCTGCTGGAGGTTCCTTCCTGTTAAAAGGGAGTTTTTCCTTCCCACTGTCACCAAGTGCTTGCTCAAAGGGAATTGTCTGATGGTTGATGTTTTCTCTGTTCTCTCATTTGGTGCTATATAAACACAACTGATTTTAACTGAACTTATTCAAACATTTCTTTTATATCTTTAAGGGTCTCTTTATACTTTCCATCTTCTTTTTCTATATACAACAACAAATAATAAGAATAACAGGCCAATAAGAATCATTAGGTTAACTAACAGTAGTTTGCCTGGAGACACAAACCTAATAATAAAAACAAGTCTTAAAAATGATTGATAGATAGAAAATAAACCATTAAATCTAGCAAGGACAGACTTTGAGGTTGAGCAGCATTATAGTTTATAAAAGGGGATCCACACACAGGCTCCATATTTCTGTCCTTGGACTTTACATGACCAGAGTAGCTTTAGATGAGTCACAGTTTAAAATAATCTCAGTTCATCCATTTTCTGAGGCCATTTGAGCTCTTCTCCTGACTAAACCAAGCATTTAGAGCAGTATGAAGCCTGAGTGAGGATGAGCAGAAATATTAGTTGATCATCACAAGGGAAATATTGGAATATTCCTTGAATACTGATTATACCTTTGATTCTAATCTCAAATGACTTGACAAACCAACTTCCCTGGAGGATTAGCACTGGAACTCATTTTCATTTATTTACAGAACTATCTGTGTTTTGCATGCTTTTCTTGAAAACAGGAAAAACAGCAAAAACACAGATAGTTCTTTCATGTTGTCACATATTTTATGGGTAAATTCTACTGAACTCTTAAATGCTGGCAAGCACCTTCTAAATAAATGTGTGAAAGTATCTATTTTAAGACATGAAATAGCCTGAGCTTCTGGCTTTCAGAGGTTGGACATGCATATTTTAAACTCGGCTCATTTTTGCTATAAACTTCCATAAATCTAAAATTAAGGAAAATTAAGAAAATAAATAAAAGCATAACAGGTTCACTGCAACCGTGCTGGTCTCATGTTAGCAATTTACTTCATAGGAAAAGTACTCTCTCTCTCAAAAATTGTCTTTTTTTTTTGTTGTTTTATTCCAGAGGCAGTGGTATGCTATTTTGGTCAGTGTTTTACACTGAATTGCCTGCAGCAGGATATAAACTATGGTCTAATTTTGTATTCAAATATTACAGCAGGAACACTGGGAGACTTCTTACCCACACAGGCCCCCTGTCTGAAAGACATGAGGGGGCAGAAGATGCTATGAACGAGCTGGGATCCATGCTGGATGGGGAAGCTTCTCTTCAGCTGTAGTGTTCCCTCGTTGTCTACCACCCTGCCAATGTGAAGGTGTCATAACTGGTCAAATTCAGCGTAACAGCATAATCACAAACAGATATTACAAGTAAACATGTTACAGCTTTAAAATCTGCACAGTGGAAACAAAGCTGCTTATTAATTAACAGTGACTTGATCTTGCAGACTGACCTGTACAGCAGCAGCTTATTGACACAGGCGTTAACCAGCAGCGAGGGGTCTCTGGCCTCTCGGCTAATCCAGGAACGAGCGGATATGCTGCAGATAGAGCTGCCTTCACTCACCACCAGACGCTTGGCTTTAGTAAGCTTCCCTGTGGTTGGGTCGGGAGGAACAAAACCAGCAAAGACCGACAGAAACAGATCAGCTGCTGACCCTCCAGAGCAGACATACTCTTCAGAGAAAAACTCATTATAATTTCTAATGTGGCCCTTTTCCAAATGTAAATGTGGTAGGTGTACCTGTGGCCATGTCAAAGAGGAAAGAGAAGATGCTCCCCCTGTCATCACCGGCCCAAAGGATCTTCCCTGGAGCATCAAAGGAGAGAGACAGCACGCGGCCTGTCAGCTTACTGGAGCCCCCCTTCACCTTCTTCCCAGTGGAGATGTTCACCACCTGCAGGTGGTGCTTGCTGTTTCCCACCTGGAACACAGATCCGGGAATGAAGACCTTTAATAATTCCACAGCGCTACATGGAGAAACTGACAGTGTGCACCATTTCTTTCTGTTGTAATTTAACCTGCGAAACCCAAATTTATCTTTCTCATGTTATATTTAATGAGGCATAAATGGACACTGCTGTGACAACACGTCTTTCAGCTTACATTCTGTACATCCGTCAAAGTATTTGTCCTCAAACAGCTAAGTGAAATCCAAATTATCCGTCACATTTACCACTTCACAAAGGCTGACATTTCATTCTAAAATTTTAATCAATGTCTGCACAGTGGAAGTATTCATTTAGTTATTGAGACTGGGATAAAAGGGTTCTCTTTGGAGGTTATTGCCTCAGCATGAAAGGCTTAATTTAGACTTTACTCACAAAAGGGGAAACATCTGGAATAAATGTGACAATGAATTAATTTCAGAGCGCGCTATGAAGTTTGAAGGAAATAAAAGCTGTAAATGTCCCTTGAGGTTACTCAGAAAGGTAATTTCTTTTAGCCTTTACCAAAAGTGTCGGATAACTGAAGTGTGACTTTAAGCATGCGGAAAACAGTAAAGGTGTAAGCAGACATCTGGTGACGGACTACACAGTTATTGTTCAGGTTTAACTAGTGTCTCGTCTTAACATATCTTAACAACAACTAAAAACTAGCACGCACATTCAATGTGAAGCCTGCAACTACAGTCCGAGCCCCTGAAATTTTGAACTTCAATTTTAAATGTTATATTTATCACCCAATAAGAGAACATGCATCCAGTCTACACACTCACACATTATTGACTGTCATTCATCCACCTTGCTTTAAGATCCTTTAGGAATTTCAAAGAAAGCCATCATTTATTGTAATATTTTCAGCAACTAATCCCTTTAATCCTTTCAAACAATACACATTAAAGCAAAATAATGCAAAATAAAATACATCAATTATATCCTCTGCAACCAAGGATATATGCTCAGCAACCACTTTATTAGGCACACTTTTTCAACTGTTTGCTAAGACAAATCACATGGCATCAGTTCAATGTATTTAGGCATACAGACTTGGCCAAGACAACCTGCTAAAGTTCAAACCAAGCATCAGAAAGGCTAAACTATGGAAGCACCACACTGGATCCACTTAGCACCAATTAACCCTTTAAAACCAATCGGAGCAGGCATGCTCCATTTTGCGTAACTATTTTTAAATGAACTGGAACCACGTAAGCTAGCGCAATAATTTTTTTTGCATTTGAAACCGGAGGAGTTGTACTTACAACTTATGCCATCAGTTTGTCCTAGGTTTCCTTCCACATATAGCTTTGCAAAGATTGCATAAAAAGCACTTGCAGCAACAACAATATAATATTCCAGAAACAGGCTTTGCTGATCCAATCAGCTGTTCATAACACTTCCTACGTGGGAATAGACGTCAGCGCGAACTATCACACATCCGCCAATACCTGCCCGAAACCGGAAGTGGCATCAATTTTGTGAAAATTTAGTTTTTTACCTTCAGGGCCTTATAAGCCTACACTGGTGTTTTTTATGTTTGACTTCATGCTTTTCTGTATCGTTTCTGGGATGCTTACAACTCAAATTGCACTGCTGGAAATAGTTTATAATAATGCACATGCTGTTTTTTTTGCAAATTTGCATTGTAATATTCATTTTTTTGTTTTCCCTGCAGTATATAACTAGAAACTAGAAATTTCTCTAACTAGAAATAGGTGTAAAAAAATGATTTTCAATTTTTTTTATAGTTTATTGCACTTATTTGCAATTTATGTAGTTACTATGGACTTAATGCATAGATATTATTAAAATTTGGGCTATAATTGTTGTATTGATGTATAGCAACTTGAACTGCTCCCAAAAATGGCACTACAGCATGTAAAAATATAAAGATAAGCTCTGGCGTTCTTGGTTGTATGGTAGGTTCTAAAGGGTTAAGCTTCGTTTAAACACCACAGCCTGAGTATTGTAGATGGCCATGTCCATCCATTTATGAACAGTGTACCCGTCTTCTGATAGCTGATGATAACACGCCATGTTAAAAAACTCAAATCCTCTCAAACTGGCTTCTTGAACACGATAATGAGTTCACTGTACTCAATTAGCCTCGGTTATTTAGTCATCTTTCACATTTCAGTCTTTCATGCAAGGTGATTTTCAAAAGTAACTTTTATTTCAGTTCAACTTTCTTTGTTTTGCGGTATTATCTTTTTATATCACATGTAATATGGGACTCACCACAGTAAGGTTATTATTCATGGGTTGGAAGGTGCAGCAGAGCAACTCGCTGGATTCTGGGTCTCTGACCTCTCGGATGCACCGGCCATCCTCTGTATTCCAAATACGGAGTGTCCCGTCCAGCGATGTCGACACAATGATGTCATTGCTCAGAGACCAGGCAAAGTCTGTAACTGGACCTCCATGACCTTTTAGGGTCACCTTCACACTGGGAGGAGGTGGTGAGAGTGTCATAATGGACAGAGTGCCGTCCAGTGAGCAGCAAGCAAGGAGGTGCTTGTCATCATTGGCAAACTGCAAACGTGGAACTTAAAGAACAAAAAGAGGACAGAAGCGTGGAATACATGGAGATTTTCAGTGTATACACATTGATTATAATGAATTCAAAACCATTTACCTACCAGCAGAGTCGACATGTTGATCAAATATGTGGTGCATGCCAGCAAAAGCATAATTTTCACTCAATGTTGTGTCTCCTGCCATGGCACGACTGGCCTCTGCCACTGAGGTGGGCACCAAACTGCCCGGAGGCCTGAGGTCACAAATAAAAACTGTCACGTAAGCACATAATCAATAAAACACACCTCACAACCCTTGCCTACAGCTGACCACTCAATATAAGAGATCCAGTCATTACTCAGTGCCACATAACTAGAATTACGGCCAGTAAATCTAAACTAACGCATCTACTCATAGCAGAAGTAAATCAAAAACGAATTTAATTGCTTAAAGCAATGAGACAAAATGCTGGATGTGAGCTGGTCTCTGAGTGCACTCTTCTGGGTACCTCTCATCGTAGACGGCTCTGTTCATCTGGGCCTGTAGCTGGTACGAGCCTCTACTGACAGACCGGCGATGACCACGAGCCCCTTGGGCACGGGGGTCCTCCTCAAAGTCCTGACAGAGAGCAGAAGGGGCCGCAGAGAGAGAAAGAACCTCAAAGGAGTGAGTGCAAGAACTCAAGACCTCAAACAATCATGAAACAAAAACAACCAAGAAATGTTGAAAACTTGTTGAAATTACCATGCATTTTCAAGTTACTGATACTGCCCACTTACATGGGCAATGCCAGCAATTTCAACCAAGCTGCTCAGTTTAATATGAACGGGCAACCAAAGTGTTGCTTGGCTATGTTGCTCACTGATCAAAACTCACATTAAGCCTTCCAGATGGCTCTTATATCCTAAACTTCCTTTCCAGCTTTAAGTTATTTTAAAATCTTTTCCCCCCAAATTAGTGCAACCACACCCGCCTACTCTCTCGCCTGTTCTACTTTTCCTGCCCTTTCTATTTCTTTGGGTCTGACCTCCATTCGGTCCAGTGTGGTGCGGGAGCTGCGCACACTGCTGGCCCTGAAGCTGCTCTGCTCAGACAGGGGCCCGTAGCGCAGGGCCAGCAGCTGACTGCGCAGCTTCAGGTACTGCCTGCGCAGCCCTGGCTCAAAGCCACACTTGGCGTTCTCTCTGAGCAGCTGGCTGCGTCGGCGGATGTACTGAGTTCGGAACTGTGGGAAGGTAGGCGTGCGGTAAGCATTGTACCTGGAAAAGGGGAAAGAAATGACACAGCACAGGCAATAACTCACAAATGATCCATATACAATTACACGTCTGAATGGCTTCGTCATCAGTTTGGACTATTAAAGCCAGCTGCCTGACTGAGTCTCACCTTGCGTCCACTGCCAACACCTGCTGCCAAACTGCTGCCATTCCACAAGCACTCTGGGTAAAGAGGAAGCCACTACCAGGGCAGATACCTGTCACAAGACACAACACAAAATTCACATTATTAGCAACTTTAACAGAAAAAAAAAATAGCATGTACCAACTGTATGAGGTCGAAAAAAGACAAGCTAGTATTAATGATGCGCTGATAAAACTGAAATATTACCCGCACCATCACATCCTCAGCGTCAAAGGTAGCAATGATTCAAATTCTAATGGCAAATGAATGGTTGTGTTACTGAAATGTTATGCAATGCGAGTTTGACACTAGAAAACAATCCGTAAGGAGAACCGACATAATCTGCTGAACGGTTTCCGCTTTTATTTTCTCGAAACAATGTAAGCAGACGAGCTAAACTAGCGCTAGCCTGTCATTTAGCAAGTTAGCCACAACATCATATGCGACTACTGCTCATAAAAAACACTTTCTCGTTCAATTTTCAGCTTAGACACACAGTCTAGGAGCTAACAATTTAATACAGCGTATAAGACATGAATGGTGATCACAGAGCAAAGAAACTCAGTAAAATACGGCTAGAAATCGCTCACCTTCCTTAGCTTTTCTCCATCGCTGCTTTTTCTGTCAAATCACGTGACACACTGTAACCAGCCCAGTCACTGATGTGGAGCTGCTGAATCCGGATGATGATTCACAGCGTTTACATTTAACGTTACATTCAAAATAATTAACCGACCATAGATCGACTGAGGTGCAAAAGATCTAACAGTCCATTAACTCATTAAGTACACGGCTATAGGGTTTTTTTTAATTTCTTCAGAAATCAATAAAATATTAGGGCTTTATATTTGTTTACTTATAGGAAAAAACTATGCATGGTTTGGTTGCATTATGGTGATCACTTTGAAGCAAAATAATCAATTGATTAATATCAGCAATATTTTACTAGTCCACACAGAAAATGCAAAGCATTGCAAATCTGAGTATAACTTAATGATCCCTGCCAAAACCATCCACTCCTAAAGTGCTGACAAGGTTGGAGGCCAATTCAGTGTAATAATATGTAGCAGAAACATTTAAATTTCTAAGGACAAAGTGTTACCTTCTATCAATGTGGGAGGAAGTGCGATCCATGACTTAGCCGAAAAATAACAACAATAATAAAATTAAAAAAACATGATCACTTTGCCTGTAATATGATGAAAATACTTTCTTGCCATGCACAATAGGTGAACACATGGTTCCAGTGGGTTCACAATGGCAGTATTACAAGGTCAGCTCCGAGGTTTCGCCTGGCTCAGCAAAGACCTGCAGAGCTGTAGGGCGTGCTGCTAAGCTGACGGGGCTCTTTGCTTGTTCATGGTGCTCTTTCTCGAAGGGGCCCCAGTGACAGAGCCATTCACAAGCACGGGCCATAAATGACCGAGCTGAACACCACATTAAGCACTGCATTCTCAAAAAACCCCCACCATCGACTCTGGAGGATAGCCAAAATGCCAGGAACAAAAGGTTAGTAGCATGCAACAAAAAAACCCTAATAATACAAAAATATATTTTAATTTATTTGCATACCAGAGCTCCATGTCCAATAAAATCAGCAAAAGCTGCAGAAAAGTTGGCCTTGCTGCCAAATGTTTAAAACTAATCTGAATATTTGTGCCATTTTCAGGTAATAAGTCGGACAAGAAGTCAACTACCAAGGTAGGAATGTCATTATTATTCTAACTCTTGTCTCAATCTGCATTTTGTGCTGCTTGAGTTTATTCGTTTTACTTTAATTTCACAGCAACCTCAGAGTCCTAAAGAGCAGCCGAAGAAAGGTGATCAGAAAGGAGATGATAACAAGAAGCAAGGAGGTAAGCATTTATATTAACTATATTATTTAAAGAAAATATTAATAATAATTAGAAAAGACATTTATTTTGTGCAGACTTGATTTTGACAGTTTGGAGCAGTATATGAAATCCCCTACATGTGGCACATAGGGGTGAAATGAAGTGCTGTGTCCCCAGTGAAGGTATCTGTCTGTGTTTTATCCCCTCGCAGGACAGCCGAAGGGAGAGAAGCAATAACTTCCAGGCATTTGTGAAGATGGCTTTGGAGACACTGCTTGGGTCCTGCCGTCGTAAACATGGGGGTCCTCGGGGCAGACAGGGCTGAGCGCACCTCCCCTTCCCTCCATTTTGCTCTTTTCCTCAGAGCCTGCAGACTGTGCTGTTGTGTGGCCTGGCAATACAGCATATGCTCACCCCTGGCAGTGGCAAAAAAACCCAAAAAATTAACCTGATCTCCATCCATCACCATCTGTCGTTCAACCTTTTTCTGTCACCTTCCTGACATTGTCCTCTTTAGCTTATTGGATGCTCAGAAATAGATTCCAGGTTTGACCAGATCTTTGCTTAAAGATCAAAAAATAAAATCAAAAAAATCATGCAGTCCTTCTCAACTCACCCTAATGATTGACTTTGTAACAGTTGATACATTATTTTTGTAAATCACTAAAATAAACAGTTATTTATTACAGCAGTCCATGTTTTTATGGCATTTGTTTTTTAAAAAGAAAACAAAATCTCTGAAATGTCGACACTGAATCAAACAAAGACAACATTCCAGGTTTCATTACAAATTTTATAAAAATATCACAGGTGTACCAGTGCCTTCACATTTACAGGGAAAAAACATTGACCTAAAGTAAATATCAGAACAGGTTTTAAAATACTGAGTGATGTTAGGTCTGCAAAGACTGAGCACTTGTTCTTGGGCAGAGACGAACATTCAGGCTCTAATCTAACACGACATGCTAGGCAAGAAGCAATTCCTTTGACAGTTTAGATTAAGGAAAGACAGACTGGACACTTGTATTATTTTATCAGATCATCATTAATTACATAAATGTGTCATTAAAAGCAGCCGTGTATTAAAAATCTGTAGTTAAGATTGAATATTTAATATCGTGTAATCACATTTTAAATGACCCTGATTCTAAACCTTTTTTTTTCTGCACTGAGGAATAACAGAGTTTTAAAAATACTAATACAACCTATTCTAAGCAAGAGGAAATAATTCAGTTCAAATGAAATTAACAAATTAACACAAAGCTAAATACAAACACCAGGAAACTCCACCACAAACTTTAATTCATGGACTTACTGAATATTTGTCTTTATCTAAAATTCACTAAAAGGGAAATCATTACTGTTGACAATAAAATTGCTGCCTTGTAACCATAATCTGTGCTCTTTTCATTCAAAATTAATTCCTCATTGTCTTACACATGCTCAAGAGACAAGCTCTATTAAAGAACGAGACTCGTCATTTTCAGTTTTTTTCTTATAGTAATTCCATGAAAAGACCAAAGCTAACACCCTAACTAAACTATAGGAAAGTTTTGTCTCTGCTGTTAACTACAATAAACTGAAAATAGGCAAGAGTAGGTCTCTGCGTAAGACCAACGGCAATTCCTCAATCAAAGGAGGCAATTAAAAAATGTCTGATCTGGTTGGGTCAAAGCTGATTTATTGTCCGCTGCTGGTGTAGCTCTATGTGTTTACCCAGAGGACAGAATGAGGAAAACACAACCAAAAGAAGGTGCTAAGGAGACATGTTTGCATGCTCTCCTCCAACAGGTCAGAGGTGCATTGCTCCTATACCGGTGAATAGTCTGAATGCTGATTGGTTGAACCAAAAAGTGAACAACCACAGCAGCGTTCACATAAAGAGGAAAAGGTGCCAGATACTTCAAATGGCCATGATGAAACAATCCCCACTGGCTTAATATTAAAATGTCCAACAAATAAGCAGCTGTGGCCTCTATCGCTGGTGGGTGTTGATTAGGATGCTAGCTGTCTAAGTTAGCTTGTCTAAATTAAGATTTGCGGTGTGAGTGAGTGAAACTGTATTCGTTTATTTTAAAAGCACTTAGCACTAATTACTAAAGTATTGGTTGTATTTTATAGCATTTTTGTTGAATGCATTTGATGAATGCAGACTGCTAACCAAGCTAGCACTAGCTCACAATGTAGCAATACACCTCCTCAGGAAAATACGGTGCCCTCTGAGTAAAAAACAAAGTAACAAAAAGATGGTTTCAGCCATTAAGCTAAATTAGAGGCTTAAAATGGGACTTCACAAATCAATAGAGGAGGCTGAGGTGGCCGTCTTTCATATACAGTCTCTGTGGATAAAGGCAAAGGACCAACAGCAAAGCAAACACAAAAAGTAACCCACATTTCCAGTTGTTCTTGATACTACCCCCAAGTGGCAGGAGATAGCTATATCAAGTAGGCGTGCACCTGCAAAGCTCTGCATAGCACCAGTGCAGAGTGGAGCCTTCGATGTTAATGATGGTTGATGAACACCAGCTTTGACAGAGGAATGCCGACTGTGTGGACTGCAGAGATACCTTTTCACAAATATACTCGTCGTTTCTTTTTGAGTGACATTCACTGAAAATTACAGTCTCAGCTGTTTCATATTCTTTTGAGCATTTTTTATTTTATTTTTTTTAGAAAGGGCTGAGTACTACGGACAGACAGTTGGAGGAAACTGTAAAATACTGAGAGATCTACAATTGCACTATTGATTTAGGTCATTTCATAGAAATTATTCACTATAAGAAGACATTGATGACTGCCACCCCTACCCTTTAAACTGAAACGATTTTATAACATAAAAAGGGAAGAGAAACGTCGACTGAGGCCATCTGCCGCAGTCGACGCTGAAACCTAGATAATGGGCTTTATCGTGTGTCCACAGAAACAAGCGGCCAATATCCACCATGCTGATAGGTATTGATTGTGACTCACAGTGAGACATCGGTAACCGCTGTCACAACATGAGGGCTCGATAACTGCGGCTCAGATAAAAAGGGAGCGACGCAGAGAAAAGAAATGAGGAGCGAGCTATCATTTCATGGATATCAAAACTAGTCCCCAGCAGGTTAGAATAATAGATTACCCAGCCAACTTGTGGTGCAACCTGAACACTGAATGTTGGTTCGTTGTTGTATACAGGATGATTCTGTTCTCTTCGGTCTGATGCAGGATAAAGTCACAGTGCAGAAGTGCAGAACCAGTTTTCCATCTCTCATTATTACTTCCTTCACTCTTTCTTCATTTCTTATTATTAGAGAATAAGGCGGTATAATATCCAGCATCCAAATGTGACCCAGTGGCTGGTCCAGCTCAGCTCTGACCACTTCTGAATGGTATGATGGGTGATATTATCCTGTAAGGGGATGTACATAGTAAGTCCAGTAATGTGTAGTAGTATAGTGTATAGTATCATTTAAACCTTTTCCTGAAAGATCTTTACAAAATGTGATTTTTTTTTGTCATTACTGACTGAAAATAATTTCATCTAAGGCCTTTCATCCAGCAAAACCATAAATTACTTTAACTGTTGATAATAAATATCACAACTAAGGTTACATTCCTATGCAGCAATTCACATGTTCATATGTCACAGTGAGCTCCACATTTTTATAGCAGGGCGTATAAATATAGACACCTTTAATCTTCTAAACATGCTGGGACTTCAGTATGTCACAATGCTACGTCAATAGCACACTGCTAGCCTTCTATACATATCCTGAATTTGTAAAGGTTCCTCAAAAATAACTTGTGCATTTGGCCTAACTAGTCATATACACAACAATAATATCTAAAGCTTTTGAATACCATTAACTTGATTTCAC